GGGGCGCGGCCAAGACAAGGACAAGAGGAGGACAAGACCCGGACACAGAGCCGGGCCACAGAGCCCAGCCACAGAGTTGCTGTATACTAGGAGGACAAGAGGGGGACAAGGCCCAGCCACAGAGCCCAGCCACAGAGTTGACAGAGTTCAGGGGCGCGGCCACGAGGAGGACAAGAGGAGGACAAGGCCCAGCCACAGAGCCCAGCCACAGAGTTGACAGAGTCCAGGGGCGCGGCCAAGAGGAGGACAAGGCCCAGCCACAGAGTTGACAGAGTTCAGGGGCGCGGCCAAGAGGAGGACAAGAGGAGGACAAGGCCCAGCCACAGAGCCCAGCCACGGAGCCCAGCCACAGAGTTCAGGGGCGCGGCCAATGAGTGTGGCCAGCTCTTTTCTTTCTAAGATAGAACCCCAACAGTAAACTGCTTGGGGAGACAAGAAGAAGTTGTTTCCAGGTCTTTGTTTCCATATGTGTGGGTGTACTTGCCTTTGTGCTCCGTGTTTATAAGTCATAAGGTGCCAACTCTTCCAACCGCTTTTTGGCTGCAGCCAAATCTTGCATCCGTTCACCTGGACAACAAAACAGTTTGAACCCTCCCTCACGATGCATAAGTCACTCAAACTCCCTCAAGCAGGCTTAGCCCTTCACTCGTGGCATCGCCAGGAGGGGTGGTGCTCACACGAGCTGGTGCACCAGGAGACGCCATCGGGGTTGGGGTTGGTGCAGGTGCGACAACTTCAGGAGGCACCATCGGGGTTGGGGTTGGTGCAGGTGTGACACCTTTGTGCTCACTGGTTTTCATCTCGCCTGTGTTTTTCTGGCTGGGAAGTTCCCCTGCCAACACCTTATCAGGTTCTGGCAGGGATTCGGGAATTTCTTTACCACGGATCTCCTCGTGCACTGATGCGTCACCATCAGACTCACATGGCTCATCATCCGAAGAGGAGGATGAAGAACCATCATCATAGGCATCAGGGTCCTTGACACTTTCCTGCATGTGGGGACGCTCCCGCGAATATAGGATAGTGTGCAAACTTCAAAGAGGGAATGCCAATGATGGGGTATACATTGAGTGTTTGAGACCGGCCTTCTTTTTGGCAAGCATTTTCTCCGTTTCCTTATGGTTGATTTCGTCCACACATGCCTCCACAAACTGTTCCGGGAAGGGTCCATGCACGATCTAGCTTTGCAAGAAACATCAAAACACATCAAACTGAGCCGTGGCCTGCAAGTCAGGATTGAGCAATAGGCATAGGTTTTGGAAGTTCCGCTCCTTGCAGGTCTGTACTTGTGTAGCTTCATTCTTATAAGAGGCCTGATCATATACACGATATACAACATATGTTTCATGATCAAGAAGCCACTGCAGTCTAGAAGCTTTGGATGGTTTGCGAAGCCTGCACTTCATCTTGATGAACCCCAAGTACTTGCGAGTCATCCAGGAATCCAAAACAATTTGATCTTCTCCAACTTGTTTCGATAGACTCATGTAGAGCTTGCTGATTTCATCCCTCAGCGGGTCCACGTTTGGCTGAGGGTGATTCTCAGTCGCAGCCATCTTCACTACCAAAGGGGTCAGGTAGGCATGTATATGCTCTGCTGAGCACGTTTTGACATTCTCGGAAACACCTTCTTTGAAGATCACCGTGCTGTCCTCGCGAAGGTAACTTCTAAGAGCATCTGCTCGCTCCCAATCCTTGTGAATCTGGTCGATCGCAAGCCGTGGCTTCTCCCCTCCCGAAGAAACGGAGACCAAGCTTTCCGCACTCGCGGGCATGGCAACAACCCGAACTAGATCCTATAACTTTTGGGCCACAACGTTTCTGGATGTTCAGACTGCATGCTTCGGACGTGAAACCTTCACACAGGTCTCACATCACATGACTGCCCGCTGCCACTGATCTTCAGGAGTCCCGCGCCTTCAAGATCTATAGCTGCCATTGCTCATGGCCAAAAAGAGCAGCCAAAGTGAATCAGGGTGGTGGATGTGGTCACCACTTGTTTTTGTTCAAGTCATTGCTGCATGGTTGGAAGTATGACTGCGGCATCTTTATATAATGTTGTTACGCGGTTCATACTTTTTGCTGAACCTTCCAACGGTCCCCTATAGTCATAGGGGTGGATGCGTGTCATTATAATCAAATGCCATTATACAAACACACGCGGTCCATGCCTTTGAACCCCATGCCTGCAGTAGAGGCTCACGACAGTATACGCGTACCTCAGGCAGGCAAAGGATCTATATTAAGGTTCTTTGAGATTGACTAAATATGTGGAAAACTCATGTTTTACAAAAACACGATGTTTTCGTGGGAAAGACGATGTTTTCAATGAGCATGCCTTGGAACATGATGTTTCCAGAAAGACACTACAAATTCACAGGTAGGGGGCTCTCTAGGTATATATAAACATGGATCAGAGATCAGAGATATGCAACTCTGACCCAAAGACTTCATCGGATTGGCAAATATACCTGGTGGTTTCAGGGGGCCAATGCATGCATATTTTCCATAGATCCGCAATGACCCACAAGGAACTCCTGGCGTGTCTAGTCGACCCCTACCCCTCTTTGAACCTTAGGGCTCCAACCATACTCAGAACGTGGTGAGACCCCCCAAATCCACCCCAACCACCTTCTGAGGATGTGGTTGGAGCCCTAGGGGAATACACACCGCAACTTTGAACTTGAGACCAGAAGAGTCTTGTGGCCATTGAATTGGCAACTGATCTTCTTCCAAAAATGGGGGAGGAGAACCCACCAACAATTCTTTCAACAACACGCATGTCATCTGCGGAACTCTGGGCAAAGTATGAGAAAGTGGAACCAAATCCATCCAAATCCCAAACAATCGGACTGGAATCCATTCACCCCTGATGTTTTTCCGCCCTTTTTTCCACCGCCCGCACCAAACGCCCAAGCCCGCTTGGTGCATATGCCATGTCGGAGCCCCCAACAAATCCCCAGGAACTGGTTGACTATCACCAGATCTAGCCCATCCGGCCCGACTGGACTGAGGTTCGGTACGACTGGACGGTTCGGTACGAAAACGGACCCGACGTTTTGGCACGGCACCGGGACCCATGTCTCAGTGGTCGAACACTGCTCACCCTTCTCAGGTTCGGATGCCAGTGGATTTTTTGGGGGATGAAGGGCCAAGGGCTGTCCAGTCGTACTGCTCAAACAGGGTTTCTTCCTCACCATCGGCGCCAAAGATCAAGACCGGACTATAAGTGACTAAGACCTGTGGTGTTGGCGTTGCTCCGGTCAAGAACATTTTGCGTTCCACTTCACGGGTCCCAGCGAGTCTCTACCCGTCAATGGGCGTTGCCCGGAACGGTTGCGAACGAAAGGTCTCTGGGTAGGTGGGACCTACCTCGGTGTTCCTTTTCGGTGGTCCACACCGTCTCCCGGTGTCCTGTCGTTGGTTTCGCTCGTTCGAACTCGTTGGAACCGATGGAGATGGGTACGACGTGGAGGGCATCCCCAACGTCCATACAACCGGACTGGATGAGTTGCGTCCCAGGCAGACCGGAGCCGAAGGGATGGTTTGCGGCGCCCAAGACCCGATCGGTAGACGAGTATGACCGTCCTGAGTGGAGAATTGCGGAGTTCACCTTCAAGTTTGGGCTCATTGAAGTTCCATCCCAGGCCATCCATGTATGGAATATAGTTACCTACATTGGGGTCATAAATTGAGTAAATATATGTATCTATTCCAAACATGGATGGTCTGGCATGTGTCAAGAACTGCAGGTCGGTCGTTTCACCCCTTTCATCGCGTCGCGGGCGGCATCTTGGCGCCTCTCTAGTTGCTGCAGCTGCCAAATAATGCCTCAGAACTCCAAAAGAGGAAACCTACCAGCGTCATCCTGGACATGGGTGTCCTGCCCATGACTGCCCTACCCTACGGCCCAGAGGTCTCCAGGGCCCCCGGGCACTTGTTGGCAGATATATCGGCCGCCCCAAATCAGGGGATCTATTTGGACCCTCCGATATCTATATATATATATATATCATGCCCGTACCGTCGTAATTAGATTGTGTTTCTTCTTCATTTCTTTGTTAAGTGCACCATATAACAAAAGAGCCCAAGTATGTTGAGTTCAGCGATTTTACCATGAAAAAAGGGCACACAATACAATCCTGGAACCCATTTGACCTCTGCTTTGATAGGAGTCTAGACCATCTTTGAAGGGTGGTTGGTGGTCGGTTCCAGGAACCATACAGCAGCCGTTCCATCCGTGGCGTGGCTCGTCCCATCCCAGGGGCGCGCTGGATGCCTCCAAGTTCGACACCTGGAAGTGGAACTACTGGGCATAGTCCACAGTTCTTTTGGACCACAGAAGCAAAAGGAAGCCGCAAGCCCGACAGTGTCTAAAAAACTGGCATCATCCAGCATATATACCCAGTCTCATGCAAAACCAAGTACCTCAATCTGTTGCAAGTCTGCAATTGGACTTTCACATGTTCTGGGTAACATCATTCAATGTATATACAGTTATATACAGGATAAGTACTAGAGTAGGTGCAAATTGAGTGGCCACCTTCCAAGGCTATAGATGTTTCTAACAGTTTCTAGATGTGTCTAGTCTAGGTTTGGACCACTCCCTGACGATCCATGACCACACATAGGTCACAAATAGAAATGATCTCAGGATATGCATACGTTTCTATTGATTGTGTTATTTGAAGACGTTGTCGAATCAAAGATTGGGGTACCTGAAATGTATATACAATTCCAGTATCATTGTCGGAGGATAAGACCATGAAATCCCAAGAACCAAGCATACCAGGGCGTGACGAACCGTGACAGACCGTGATTGGTCTATTTTGTCCCTTTAAAAATGAGGTCATTGTCGGACTCCAGCGTGACAACCCGTGACGAATTTGAATTTGGGATCGTTGGTTTTGTGGTTTTTGGGTTTGGTATGATCTCGTTTTTTGAGGTCGGACCTCACAGGGTGAGGTCGGAGAGCCCCAGAAGACACAACCCCAAATGTTAGCATATAGAGCTAACTTTCGATCCTCAGGGACTGGTTACCAAGCGACGTATTTTTTGAAGAAAAAAACAAAGGTACCCACCCGTTTGGCCTCCAGTCGTACCTTCGTTTCGGTTCGGTGGGACGACGGGGGCCCGGGGGCCAGCCAGTCGGGTCCAGTGTCACCGAACCGGAGGAGGTACGACGGGTCGGTGTAATCTATCCACTGCTTGGATGGATTCAATCACCAACTCCGTTCCCCTCAGCTCCCGGCAGCGCGCATGGCCATTCGGCCCGCCGGGGGTCTCGGCCAGGAAGCACGGCAGCCTGGCGCCGTGCTGCCGTAGACTCCATGGAATTCGTGAAAGATAGCTACATCCAAACAATCCACGTACCCGCCGATAAATGCCGATATAACTACATTAAGGTGGTTGAAAAGGGGTCAATGTGGGCATGTATTCCAGTCCCATGGATGGTCTGGGACACGTCAATGACCTCAAGTGACTGAAGTTGGTCTTAACTACTCAAGGAGGTGAGCTTTGCCGGGTTTTACTCGGTCTTTAGACTTGTAGGAATAGATCATTTTGTTGCCAGCACCCGACTCTACAGGTCACCAATTGAGACCTCTTACGGAACAAAACAGCCCTTTACTAATACTGTAAGATTCCTAGCCCATGGATGTGAAGGGTTTTGACCAAGTGAACCCTTGTGGGTCGGGTCGAAGCCTGGGCGACAACAATGACCCCCGTGAAACCACCACCGAACTGGAACGCATGCCACGATCGGTGGAAATCAGACCAAAATCCTTATAAGTGTCTTGCAAAATGGCTACCATGGACCATGATTATACAAATACCAGCCACCCGTCACCTCTCACTTCTTTTCACACCCCCATAACCTGTGTCACGACGTATTTGTCCAAACAAGAAACGCACCAAGGCGCATCACCCCAAACGACATCGTCGACTGTCGCCGTGCCACGCCGCCTGGCTGAACAGAAATCCACGGCTTCCTGCGCCCACGCGGTTGTGGGGAACCCAAAGGCCGACGACGGGGTTCCTCTCTCCGCAACTTGGAAGACCGGATGTTTCATGGGATCGGGGACGTGGGTGTCTATGTTGGAACCAAAGGAGAACCGGAAAAGTCGGATTGGGTGTGATTTGACTCAGGTGCCCAAAAGGATAAGATCATTTGGGGAGTTCGCAGTGCCTTTGAAGGGTCCAACTACTTTCTCTGAAGGTATATGGAAATTCCATATGCGCTGTTGAAGCCCACTTGAGAAAAGGGGGGGTGGACGAAAGGTTGGTAAGCAACCGAAAGTCAGCGGCAGCAGCTGCAGCAGCAGGCCACCACGCACCAGCAGCAGATGCAGCAGACCACCACGCAGCAGCAGACCAGCAGCAGCAGCAGCAACAGTCGCTATACGCCACCGAAGCGGGGTTCTCAGCGTGCCCCATGATTGAAGGTAGATGGCACCTAGTTTTTGTGCGTCTCACTTTAGAGGCTGTGGAACCTTGGCCTGTGGTTGGGCTGTAAACGAGTCGAGTCCTTGATGGTCTTCACGGCGTTGCTTCGATCGTGGAGTCTCACATGCACCACGTTGCCCGAGAACTGCCTGGCGGGTCGAAGGGTCCCCGGTGGAACGGGGCATGGAGCGCGCCTCTCGAGTGACGGCTTTTTGTTCGTTTTTTAAAGCCAGCCGTTGGGGTCTGCTGACGTCCAATAGGCTGGTCTTTAACGAATCGGCGAGGCCGTCTTTTTTATATACGTCTTCCACTATTTGTTTTGGGTTTTACCTGGGTCTGGGCACGGGACCTGCGAAGTGCTTTACAAGGAGTCGGCATTGCGGGCATTGAATGTCCAGTGTTCAACTCGAGGTGTTGGTCCCAACAGGAGTTCTCCATCCAATCGCTATATGGATCCACTGGCACCCTCGTTTCGAAGGTGATTGATTGGACACTCTCTTATTAAGGGTTCAAAGGGTCCAGTCACACCTTCTCAGATCCATATAGGGCAACAAAAGGTTCCTGGTTGGATCCAACTGAGCATGCAAACGCCGGCAAAAGGTATGTGGATCCCATCTGAACATCTACGCGGAGGAGGCCCTCCATATATACACTGCTATCCTCAAGTACCCATTCTGATGGAACCTCAAAAGAGGTACAGACTTGGAGTCAACCTGTGTTTTGTTCGGGTCATGTCCCATTTTCTAGAGTACAAGTACTTTGGAGGGTCCAGGTATGGGCAAAACAATTAACCCAAATCTGAACAAGGTGGACATACTTTGTCCCTGCTTTCCAAATAAATAGATACGAAACTGCGTCAAACATGCACTGCTTGAATGAATTACCCCTCCAAGATCACAGGAATCCCCGTGAAGGTGTACGGCGAACCTTCGGATCGTCCTGCACCCAAACATCCTCATTAAGCTTATTGTTCTTCACTCCATCCACCTGCACTCCGCGGCGGCAAACCCAGCCGAGCGGAACTCTCCTGCCGGGACTGGCGGCGAAGCGGGCGGTCTCGATCAGCAGCGCGCTCTTCCCGATGCCCTGCGCCGAGCGTGAACGGCGGAGACCTGAACCTCCGGGTGAAGGGGGGGGGCTCTGGTGCAGCTTCTGAGGGGAATCTGCCAAGATCCACACGGTTCCTGACTCTTCCAAGAAATCACATAGCAACAATAGCCACCTTCTGAAGCAAGCTTGGAGTTGTCCAACGGATGACTGGAAGTGGACTCTCGTGGCGTAAACGTTCAATCCGCGCAGGCGGCCATGTTCATTCGTATCACCGAAGCCGTCACCCTCGCCATAACTGAGAGGGTGGCTTGCCAGAAAAACCACCCGAATCACCTCTCAGAGGCGACTTGTAGACACAAACGGAAGGTCCTGGGGTCCTGGTAGAACAATGCATATTCATATATAGAACAATCTGGACATTGCACCCAGAAGGCCCGGCTCCTCTTAGAAGATTCCTTTTGGAACCACTCCATGCATGTCATATATTAACCTGCATTGGAGAAGCTGACCTAGACTCAATGTATAGGCATAATTTCCAAACGCCTGTTTGAAGCGATACAACGGCTTCCTTATTCTCTTCATGTTTGGCCACGTACTTGTGCCAGTCAAGCAATCCAAGTATGGTGTCCAACAACCATCGATGTTGTGATGTCAGACCATCGCCGTGAGGTCAGCCCATACAGGACCAACACACTCGCGCACACGGCACTGCACATTGGCCTCCAACCTACTAGCGATGGCCTCCACCCTGGTAGCGATGGCCTCCAACCTTAGAGTGATGGATAAACATGTGTTCCCGTTCCCGTCGGAAAGTTTTCAGGCTGCACACTTCAGTAGTTTCTATGTCCGTTCCATGTGAACACAACATAAGTGTGTACCCACATGCAAGATTCTATGCGCACCCACCGGTGTTTTTCTTTTCCCTACACATCCAAGTACCTCCTCAGACGGTGACACTGGACCCTTCTGGCACCCATCCTAGTCCCACCTTCTCAGGTACGACTGGAGGCCTAGGGCCGGTTTCAATGACACAAGGGCTCTCCGCTCTCCGCTCGCCACAAGGGCTCGATGTCTCGTTCCGTGCCACGCGCCTCGCAGCCGTGCACCGCACAGGCGCGACGGTTGAGAAGGACATTCATCACCTGCGACCGACGGAACGACCGTTGGATTGGATCCATCCTGCGTCGTACGGCTCCAATTGCGTTTCGATGTAGGCGATCGATCTCAATACTCCGTTTCAAGATCGGCGTTACGTTCATACTCCGTTATAAGGGTTATAGCCTCCATCTATCCGCCTCGATCCATCTCCTTCCTCCTGAACCCCACAGAACGTGGAACCGATCATCTTGTGTGAAGCTGAGTTGTTTTTTCTTGGCTTGCAAACGAAGGCATCATCAGTTTTGCATATAGTTTTGCAGTGAATGGCCCCATCCAATTGTAAAAGATGTTGCTATACTTATTTTTTGCTATACATGTTGCTTAATATTATATTCTGGGGAGGGTGTTCCTGCACCAGCCAAGAGTGGTGACGATGCCGGTGAACACACTTTGGCTATGGCAGCACAACACCATCCAAACCCACCGGCCAAAGGAAGCATCGTCTATAGATCTGAGGGTCTCCTGATTGATCTTTGAGCCATAGCCTGATTGAGCCCTATAGACTGAAACATGTCCTCCAACCTCCACAGGTCTGGGTCCTTCCCAACAAACCTCGGCACAGCCGCAAGAACGCCTGCTGCATCTCTGGAGGCCGAAAAAAGTCTTCCACCTCGCGTTCCGCGACGCGGTCGCCGCGTCGCCACGTGGTCAACGGGCCGCGACCGAGGTCAATGGGTTTCACCCGGCGATGGGAGGGGGAACCCACCGCGTTCCCGCGACCTGCGTGTGACGTTTGGTATCACGGGTGGACTCGGGTGGACAGGTGGGTGGCAAACATCAGGGGCAGTTGGACAGATAACGTTAATAATTTGACATCCACAAACAAACTAAAAAATAACAGACACAATGGAATTCCCCACCTGCCAAGTGAGGGTTGCTAGATTTTATCACGGAATTTCTCAGCGCGGGTCTTGACCCAACGTGGCGTCAAGCGTGGTTTCATCATTGGTCTCCCGATCTGACATTAATTGCTGGTCCTTTGGGCTTCCAGTCGACATGAGTCCACATGGCATACATGGCATGAATGTAGAGACACTGCTTGGGCGAACGTTGCTTCCAAGTCAACTGAATGTTGACTGAATTGATTTGAATCATCCCAAATGTTTGGCATTGTTTTGCAGTACATTAACTATACTGTATACTGTATAAGAGTTCCGCTTAGTCAACCTGACAGCTGGTTCCGCATGTTTCTTGACAAGTTCGGAACTCCGGGTGCTAATTATCCAGCAGTCCGGAGGTTGGGTGCTATCCATGCGAAGAAAAGCAGTCGGAGCCACACCCAACTGCTGACTCCTGGAGATCCTTTTGGGAGAGAACTCACCAGTCCAGTCGGCCGAAGATTAGTCCCAAAGCGCACGCGACCGGCTTGCGCAGAAGTTTGACCAATGAAGCACTTGGTTTGATTTGGGGCATATGAAGCAGCAAGAACATGCAAGAAAGCACGAGGATGTTTTGAGTGGGAGCCCCTGAAGTTAGAATCCTAAGGATCCAAAACATCTAAGTAAAGCTTGCAAGTAGGACGCTGAGACCAGGACCCAAGGGGTGATTGATAGACACATATAGACACCACTTAATAACGGGACTATGGCCACAAACACCCCAAGCTGCGCGGGGCGCTGATTTCAAGGAACGCTGGCCTCTGGAGGGAGGAAGGTGAGCTGTTCCTGAAAGCTGCAGGCGTCCTGGCCGCTGCGCATGGCTTTGACCAGCTGTGGAGGTCTGGTCGGGGATCAAGGGATGTTGTTCGGGGATGTCTTTGGGGCCACTCCGTCTGGGTATGGACTGGCACGAAGGCACTACCACAAACGCTTCAAAGAAAGCAAAAGAATGAGCACAGGCCATGGATGCCAGCTTTTGGTAGGGCAAAACATACACCCATACACCGGCCAAACGTAGACAAAGAAGGAAACTGAATGAAACTGCCCGGGTCCTGACATGTCCTGACATCTCCAGCGCAACAGAAACCTTTGGAAACACGTTAGTACCAAATATACTTCTAGCGTTCCACCACCGTGGCACCATAGCTGCCATAGCTGAGCTGGAAACCAGGTTGACATGAGCCAACACCATGTATCTTGAGACCCGGAAACAACACATGCTTGAGAAAGGAGACCCTGAAAACCACTGAGTGATACAGTTGAATCTCCTTCCTTTTCTTCTTCCGAGTCTTGGGGGTGGCCAATTTCCAATACATCTATGGCTACGTCCTATCAAGAGTGGACCAGTGAAAGTACCTCAGAACATGAGTACAGATCTAAGTCTACCTGTCTTGTGTTCAGGTCATGTCCCATTTTCTATAGGGTACGTCCGACATCGGGTCCAGGATGGTCGACCTCGGCCGATCTGACCAACCCAACTCCGAGCCCATCTGCTCCGAGTTAGTTGCTCCAAGCACATCTTCCGAGCCTACTAGCCATGGCCTCCAACCTACATCCGCGATGGCCTCCACCCTAGCAGTATTGGCCTCCAACCTACATCCGCTCCGATTCCCGTCCTGAAAACCTCCGATCTCACTCTCCCGGCTCCCAGGCCTCACACCGACCGTCTCGGGCGCGCGTGAACCAGCCGACGTGCGGAAAGCCGGTGAACCAGCCGACGTCGTCCCATGCAGTGTGGAGGTGACAGGAGCAATTCGATATCCAAACATATTCAAAAGGATTCAAAAAGGCATCCAGGCAGTGGAACTGCTGGCTGCAGGCGCTGAACTTGTGCTTGCTTTGAACCTCTTTGAACGAAACCAAGACCTAGCACAGTCCCACGGATGGACCAAGCGGAGTGACGAGGACTTGCTCCGTCCGCGCCCAACCACGAGAGGCTGGGTAGACTCCACCTCCGAACCGAACTCATTGGAACGCCGGCGGTTAGTTGAGCTACACACCCAAACTGGGAATCCCAATTGCTTAATGGTCAACCCTACTGGGGAAGAGATACGTCACCTTTGGAACATCTCTTCCCCAACTCAGAACTGAGTCCGTCTCATTCCAGTCTGAAAAACCAGGGCTCGACGTGAGCTGCAGGACTCCCAGGCACATTCTTTCTGCCCCATGACTTCGATCACCCTGCCGGTCCGTGCCGGTCTTCCACACATCTGCTAGGCCCCCTAGAAGAAACCCAAACACTCATTCCATGGGACTGGCACAGGAAAATTATTGTGCAGGATATCCAAGAGTTGCTTCATGGGGATTTTACAGTTATTAATAAAACATGAATCACATTTATAAAAACTCTCAATAATTTAAGTAAAATGGTTATATTTTAGTTCATCAAACATATATTATTAAAGTATTATCATTTAGATCATAAACGTCCAATAATCAAACAAGGTCAAACACACATAGTTATTGAATTTGTAGTAATTACATGTTGTTACAAATAATTCATATGTCCGGTGTCTTCTTGAAAAGGGGTCAATGGGGTGGCATATGCATACCAGTCTAGACACTCCCCGGGTTCGCCCGGCGCCTCTCTGGCCGCTCGGGGACGTCGGGCACCACTTGGCCGACGCCTGCGCGGTGCGCGACGTCAGGGTCTCGAGGGATCGCGTCAAGTCTGGTGTGACGCGATCCGTTCGGCCCCGAAGCCTTTGGAGGGGGTTTGCCACCCGAATCCTGGAGGAGGGGTCCGGGGTCGGTTTCTCACCAATGCTGTTTTGAGGGACCAGTCGGGCTGTGAACGGAGCGTCTGGGTGAGGGAGACCACGCAATGTCACTGGTCCACCGAACCGTATAGTATAGTTGGATATATATAGTTAGTATATGATGTTCAATTTTTTTAAGCACGTTTAAGCATATATGATATGTGTTTTATTCGACCGGATATAAATTAGCTTCTTCAACGATTAGGAGGCCATCTCAAATGCCTGGTTCCTGAATTCATCAGTACATCTCCACACACTTGTTTTTGTGTAAAAGGTAAACAGTCAGCCATATACCAGGAGTCACAAAGGGATGCCTATTGAAATATTGGAGGATAGTATTTAGAACATTTTAGAACTGTCTCTCGCCCTTCTTGTCCTTGATGGCTGCGGAACTAGTTTGTGTCCAGCACACAGTGTCCATTCCCACTGGTCTATGAAAAATGGACAGGATTGCAGCTGAAAAACACTCCAGGTATAGAAACAAGCAATCCAAAATGCTGACTGAGAAGAGTCAGAAACTGTCCAAGCTGGTCTGGAAGATGATGTTCCTCCAGTAGGGATGATCGATTGGTTCTAAGGCACTGTCGGTTTGGTGCTACAGTAGTTGGTGCTATTTGGTGCGAGGATTGTCTGCGATCTTTTTCCTTCAAGGTTGGTGCTATGTTGATTTGTGAAGGCAAAGCAATCCCCTAGCTACACTTGCATAAGACTCCACTTCACCGGGGCAGCATCTACATGTACCAAACAATCAGCATGTCGAACCAATTGCACCTCCCATCTTGCGTAGGGGCGAGACTGGGAGTGTCTTTCTTCATCCAACAAGGCCCAACGACCCACACAATCATTGCGCCAATTGTTTTCATCACATGCGACATCATGCGGACTCAACTGAGCTTGGCAAACCTAAAAAGCATCCCAGGGCAAGGCTACCGGCGGACTGGGGCGATTGGTCACTGCAATTCTCTTATAGTGAGATTAAAGATTTTGGATTCTGGTCTTTCAACCAATCAAGGCTGGAAAATGTACAAGAACCAACCAGGGTGTTCTTGGGCTTCCTCATAACGTCGAGTGTGTTCACCTGGTCACTATGCAACCAACAAAAATGAAGCAACATTACTGATGTTTTGTATGTGTTTAAAAGTGTTATTTTCATATCTCGGAAGAAAGCCAAACTCAAATATATAATACTGCCTGTTCTATTTTCATGTCTTGGGATGCCTGTTCAAGTGGTACACCATAATCTACACCCTTCTGCAACTCCTATCTGTCCAAGTCTGGGCCGGTTCCTCAGTGAGGTTTTGGGGTCGTTGGATCGCCCGTGGAGTGAGGCCGGAGGACACGGGATGCAGATGAGCGAGGCCGAGTCCAACCGGGCTATCAGAAAAGACATCGGAGAAGCACCACATATGCTGGAGTTGGTCGGTCCAAACTTCCCCAACGCCCGAGGGTTTTCTACACATCGATTCAGTCAGGCTTTGACCCGGTTTTGGTCTCGACGACGAAAGGAGCCCCCTCAGTGCGGCGGACGAAAGCGCGTGCGGCGGACGTGCGCCTTCCGCGGAGAGCAAATGATAGACATTGGATTGATCCGCCACCTCCGTCGGGCACGGCGCGAGGGCCGCCAGGGCGTTTTGCGGGCACGTGCCCGGTCCGGGTGCTTTGGTTCAGGTCGCACCTGCTTCTCACGGAAAGGAACATGTCCATCAAAAAGGAAGCGTCGACACATGCAAGTTGTCATATCCCTACACCTCCAAGTACCTCCTCAGATGGTATTTAGACCCTCCAAACCCATCCCAAATACCTTCTCAGAAGGTACTTGGAGGCCTAGGGTATATGTTAATTACATTTAATTACCATATTACCACATATGAGTGAAGAAGAAAATCTCTGGCGACCGATGGACCTCTTGTGGATGGTTATTGGAGAGGCTCGCCCCTGGAACCTCTTTCCATTCTGAACCAACCAGCAAAGGGCATCCCATGCAAAGCAGATTTGGTCCTGCCATCCCAGACCATCCATGTATGGAACATATAGTTCCCTCTCGGATACTTACATTGGGCCCTGCCCGGGCCCTGCCCTGGGGGTTTTCTGTCTCTGTAACTCTTCTAGTTGCTGCCATCGCGGTCAACTCGCCGCTTCCGGACGGCCGTTTCCTGCGATGGCCAGTTCTTCGAGGATCAGTTGTTTTCGGGGTGTGCACGTCTCCAACCAAATCGCCCCGGGCGTTCACCCAGTGATGTGAAGAGTTGAATGCGAATCTCAGGGCTTCGGGCTGCGGATTCATCCACTGGCTTTCCTCCTCATGTTTCCTAGACCACTTGCTTCAAGGACACAAAGAACCCATGTAGTATCCCTCTGTGGCCTTTCTTTGAAGTAACAGATAAAAGAATCCTCTTAGTACTGACCAATTTCAGGGTGAACCAAAGGGGGCAAAGAGTGAACACAACTCCCTTCCAACAAAAAAACACAGGGCAACATGGCCATAACGACTCGACCCGCTGTACATACCCGGTACCTCTTCCGTTAAGCCCCATGTTGTGGTCCCAACTGTTTGGGCCCCATGTTCCTTACCGCCTTCCCGTTGACGCCCGCTTCGGCCGCCGCAGAGGCCTCTCGGACCGAGCTGGCGAGCAGGGCCTTCCGCGTGTGCTCAAAGGCCTCGACGATGGACCTCGCTCGGTTGGAGGCCATCGCTGGTCGTGTAGGACGCCGAATGGATGCACACAGGATGGAAAACCTGGTGCCTATAAAAGGAAAAGTAGGAGACACAGACCATCCATGGAAGAGTTACCTACATGAGTGTCAGGACATGGAACATAAATGTGGACCCGACTTCAAGAACGTACCCTAGAAAATCGGACATGACCTGAACAAATATGTGTATATGTATATATATATATACTGTATACTTCCAGATCGCTTTCCGAGGCAAACTCACAGTCAGGTCCTTCCTCCAGGTTCCTCTTCCAGTTGGATGGTCCAGGTTCCTCTTCCGGGACGGGGGTCGCTGCATCAAATCCACAGGTCGCTCCGTCCAGACCGTGTTTCCGTCACGGTCCAGGTCCATGGGCTCCTGTCCCACCTCCGAAATTCGGTGGTCATGGTGAAACTCGCAGATCAACAGATCCCTGTCGTCCGATCCCTCTTGTCTGATTCGTCCTCCTTTCCCTACACCTCCAAGTACCTTCTGAGAAGGTGTTTATAGACCCTCCAAACCCATCCCAAACACCTTCTCGGAAGGTACTTGGAGGCTTAAGGCTTAGGGGAGGAAGCCAAGGCTTCGAGTTGTTCATGGTGAAACTCCCAGATCAACGGATCCCTCTAGTGGGTTTGCTTCACAGAAGCCCAGCGGTTGAGGACGATTTAATATTCCGGACCATCCATGAAACTGGAATATAAATAATAGTACGTTACATACACATCTACCCCGTTTATGACCCATGAATGTTAAGTAAACGTTGCGTGGACGGTCTGGGTATGGACCACACTCAATTTCCAACTGGAGAGCTTGGCAGCATCCAACAAAAGGACTCTCGCTCAGAGAGAAACACGGCCCAAACAGGACAGGTTGATAGTTGAAGCCCAACTGAAACTTGATGATCAAAGATGAAACATGTCTTCCCTAGAGAAACTACACTCCTGAAAACTAACATCGACCCTGAGAATGGCACCCTGAAAGAGGGTTTTCCAAACCAGTGGTTTCCCGAGTCCGTGTTATAGTTTTCAGTGGGGTTTAGGGCTCCAAAACGCCAGACTCAAAAGTGGGGTGTAGCAGCTGTCTGTCCCGGATATCAGGGAGGTTTAGTTCGTGACCGTGAATCAAACATGACAATATAATCAAGTTTATGCAATTATGCTCAAATCTTGTGTGGGATAGCACGTTTGAATATGTTTGAGCCTGAACTTTTGACGACATTCATAATACCGAGAACCAATCAAGCGATTGGATGTCATCCGTTCACCCTGTCCTGTCCCTGTCCTGTTCCTGTCCTGTTCCTTGTACGACTGTTTTGCCTGACCGGTCTTCCGCTTCCTGGTCTATTCTTGGGTTACAATGAATGCTTCCCGCCTCACAGTTCAGCTTCACTAGGTATCATAGCAATGTTCAACAACCTTCGAGCACCCCATTACCCCGAACACCTGTTCCCTGAAAGAACCTTTTGAGCACCTGTGGATGGCACCACAATGATGACTATGGTCCACGTCACGAAGAATGACTGCAAGGATAACCATGGTTTTATGACCCGGCCCAGATGGTTTTCACTCACTCCACAAAAATTCAATAACTCTTTTGGGGAGTGCCAAGAGAGGTGGAACATGCCCCCACAACCTGGCATAAGTATCTATGGATAGTCGAACCAGTCGGGTTCTGAAAAACCTCTGTTTGGTGTAGCTGGAAACTGATTGGCAATACATCTGCCCTAGGCTTCCTGGCCCACCACTAATTTAATAGGCCGAATCCCGAATCAAACACTACAAACACAAGGTCGTTCCCATTTCTTTTACTGGTCGAACGGAAGTCAAGTCTAAGGGGATCTGCGAGTCGCTCAAACCCTCCGGTCCATCACCTCTGCCTTCCACCTCACCTCCATCACCTCCATCACCGCAACTCCCGCGCCCCGATCTGCCCGTGCTGCAGGGCGCTTTCCCACGAAGAGGGCCCCATAGAAGCGCTCCGTGAAGGCGCGGGCAGTGGCGTCCAGCACCGGACTGGCCCGTGGCGTCCCAACCCGCAGACCCGGTGGGGGCGGCTGGGACCGAGTGGGCTGAAAGACCACATGGGATGGGCGTTACACGACGACATGGGACGTTGCTTCTGACACTCTTGGCGTCAGATGAAGAGGAGGTGCGTGTATTCAAATGGGGGGGGTGTATGAATCAAGAGTCTACATTCGTGATGGCCTCCGTTCGCTAGAAGCAATGGCCTCCAAACTAAGAGAGAGAGAGAGGGTTGAAAGACGTTATTGAAGAAGGTTTGAGAAGGTTTCCCGAAAAAATCCACGAGTAGCAAGGAACTATCGGCGCCCATGACTGCGTCTTTGGAACCACTGGTTTCCGCCTATGGTGATGGTAACTGGGTCCACGGTTGCTCAGAGGCTGGGGAAGTGAACTTCACCCCCATCAACCTTGACAGGTACCAGGTACCAGGTACGTTCCACTCTCTCAGATGCACTTGGGCGCAGCAAAACAGGATGTAGATGTAATGGACAACATCTACTGAGCTGTTTGTTCGGAAAATGCCAAGTACAGCAACCATGTTTCTCAGCAATCCCAAACGTAGCACACACACACACACCAACACCAGTCGTGCAAAAAGAGGCTCCAACATGCTCCAAAGCAGTTGTGATTTGTTGACGCAGTTGTTATTCTCTCTGCTGTGTTCATGAGCAACATCTTGTTGTTAATACGGGAAATGGATGGGAAAATGGGAAACAAATCATGTTTTCTCAATTCTGTGTACGTATTGTTCGCTCTCGTGTCCAATTCTTGAAGGTCTGTAGGCCATATTGTTCACACGCCAGTTGAAACCCTGTAACGCCATACCCTGGCAATGAACAACTAGAATGGTCTAACTCCGCGGGGATCTGATTTCGGGAACTTCCTTCACTTCTCTAGAAGTAAATATCGTCTTAGGGTTGGGGGTTCTTGTGGTCCTTGTGGTCCCCCTACACACCAAAGCTTCCTCGCCCAGCAGTGCCTGCTGGTCGCAATCACATGCTGGCAGCCACACTCAAGAAAAACCTGGCACGCCCGGCATCGAAGAAATGGGTTTTCTCGGTGCTCTACATCACTGGTGCCCAACCCCCAACCCCCAAAGCTCCATTGATCCAACGACGGCCTGGCCTACATCACTAGTGGGTTCGGAGTGGTGAATGGAGGCCACAGCCAGACAGCGCCGGTAGCGTGCCTTTGGGGCACGCCACCAACCGTTGACCCCTCATGGGTTCGGATCCAGCCAGTGACCGGGAGAGTCCATGACCGCATGTGGCTTAATTACTCTTATTTAGCAAAAGGCATGGCAGTTGCAGTTGGATGTGCTAAGCAAAGAGCACTTTGTGGCGGGTAACCTGTCAATGTGTGAAATCCTTGGATTGTTTGGTCGGTCAATATGGAGTTCCCTGCACATAAACAGCAGCAAACAAAGAGAGCCTCACTGACTGTAAAGGATCTGCTAAGGTCACTAACATTGCATACCTCGTCCACGGGGCCAACATGACGCAACACTTCTTTGAAGATCAAGGGCACACCTGTGCTTGCAAGGTACGCATTCCAAGCATCATGATGGATCTCTTATACCTGCCAATTCAGAACATGGTGCACTTGGCCATGAACAACCAGTTGCCATCCTTCTCCCGACAACATATAGCAGTAGTGGCTGGAGTCAGAAACGACCCGCAAGTAGTTTCCTCTTGACCACCGCTTAGTACAGGAACCTAACCCTAGGCCTCCAAGTACCTTCTGAGAAGGTGTTTGGGATGGGAATGGAGGGTCTAAACACCTTCTCAGAGGGACCCTGAAGGTGTAGGGTAATGTATGAAGCTCTGATGCCAAGCGTCAGAGGTCTAGATTAGGCAAAGGTGAAAGCAAATGACTCGGAACCCTTGCCATGTCTTGCCTTCCAGTCCATTGAAAGAACGATCAAAACTCATTTTACTAGGATCAATCCTTGGTTGGTTGTGTCTTCTCAAACTCTGAACCCCACAAAGGGATATATTCTGACTCCTCTAGTTCTTAGCAAGCTGTCTGTTTGACAAACACTGCCCAGAAGCAAGCATGAACCATCTATTCCCTATACTAATTACTGCTCCAACCACATCCTCAGAAGGTAGTTAGACCAAGTTAGACCCCACTGGCACCCACCCCAACCACACCCAACCACCTTCTGAGGATGTGGGACAGGAGCCCAAACGCGATTCACATGGATTCAAAATTCAAAAATCGGCCGCAGCAAACGCAGGCCAAGCACCGGCCTGCGCCAGCTGCTTTGAGCTGCAGGAGCTGAGAAACAACCTCAATGTTCATCAACTGGATTTGCTGAGCTACCGGAACTGGGAATCAAAGTACAAGGGTTTGAACCGGGAAAATCAACCATCACCTTAAGCAAAACCCTTCCCATCACGCTCATGGCGACGGACTGGACCGGGAAGGTGGCGCCGAGGACGACCGTCAGGCTGCAGCTTCGGGAGTGTCAATGAACCGCCCCTGTAAAGGCTCCAAATGTTCAGCACCAGTGGCTACTCATCGGCGTGTAACCTTGCGTTTAGCAGCTTCTTCTTACTAGTAGGAATGCCAGGAGCTACTAGTAGCTTCTGGCTCCGTTCGTAGCGATGCACCTTGCTACTCGTAGCTTCTTGTCACTAGCAAATTAGCTACTAATAGCGATGCACTTGCTCCTAGTAGCGATGCCCCTTGTTACTAGTACAGTAGCTCCTTAGTACCCTATAAGCATTCTTGGACCTGACATCTTCGGTCAGGGACCTTTTGTGTTTGTTCGGGTCTGCAAATACAGTCAATGAGTTGGGGCATTGCTCCCACTTTGTCTTCCAGTTCCATTCATCTCGTCAGGGGGTTGGAAACCCATTCCCATCCAGTCCCCTCACGTCCCCTCCGCTCCAGTCTCCTTCGCCGTCCGACGCCCTTCGCGCGTTGGACGTTCCGAACCCAGCGGCAGGGACACGCCCCGCAGACCTCGGTCACCCATTTGAAGGATCTGCCTCAACTTCTCCTGGAGATGGAGATGATGTTGCGTCTCGTCCCGTAGATGGAGCCATTATTTTAATAGGGAGCCCCGTGTCCCAAATGGTTTTGGGTCTACTGCCCTTGTGGAAAGAGGGTCAATCTGGGAGGTCTTCCTATTTCAATACACACCCAGATGTGGCCATGATGTGGAAGGGGAATCCGAACGAATTCATTTATCTCGAAGGGTGGCACTTCCCTCATTCCCGCTGCGAGTTGCACCAGGCCTGATCAATGTGACCATCTCACAGTTTACATTGACCACAAGCCAGCTTTATCTAGCGTAGTCCAACCAACACGCTTGAAACGGATGGTGTCATTGTGATCTGTTCTTGTTGATTTCTAAACTCGATGGTTTGTATATTTGTATCATCGACCTCGGCATTAATTGTGGATTTTCGGAGACACCCTGAATGGCGCGGAGCCCATTCGTCAGGGGTGCCGTCCCTTGGTCAGGACGGACCCCAAAGCACGTACTCCCAGCGTTGAAGCGAAAAACCCAGCGCGCTGTAGGACAACTGGGAGTCAAAGACGATGTCGAAAATCGGTCTGATGTCGGAAAACTTCCTTCATCACGAAGTATCTATAGTCTATAGTCACTATAGTCTTTGGATTCCTTGGACTTCTGGAAAACCTATGAGGCTATGAGGACCTCAAAACATAGTATGGGCCTAACTCCTCTTGCACCTCACATCTTCACGCCCTGGGCCCAACTGCTACAGGGCTAGGCAGGCCCTACCTGGGTGGGGTGCCTGGGGGGGGTCTGTGCCCACCTGAGGATATGGGACAGGAGCGCAAACGGGCTTCAATGGAGGAAAGTCCAACGACATCTGAACGCCTCTTGGATCAATCTGATTCTGGGCGCCAGCCATGAGCGAACTTTGGGCATCATGATTTAAGAGTCAACGATTTAAGAGGGATTCCAGAGAAACCATGCGTGGCAAAATGTGAGGCTGCCGCATGCCCCAAACCATCCATAATATGAATGGAAGAGTATGGAACAGTACATTGACAGGATGGTTCCCACAGCTCTGAATGAGCTAAGCCCATGTAGCAAATGGCTTCTAATGTTTTGCTATACCACCCCAACTGGTCGGCGAGTTGGCCAGTCCCCTGGATGCGATCTCCGACGAAGGAGTCCGACTGCTTCGTCCCCATAGGCTGGCTTCCAACCGCCGAGGTGCATGGGTGCAGCGATAGGCTTCGCCATTGCCTTTGCTGTTCTCCAAGACCAAGCCACCCGCCTCAGGGATGGATGGATGTCTCCGCAAACATCCACTGTCGTGTGGAGTCGCGGGCCCCCTTTACGAAGCACCGATCGACCTGCAAAGCGAAGACATGCCTGACCGCTGGTGTTCTTCGTTGATGTGAAAAGGGGTTTTCAAATTTGGGTCGGGACTCCATCACTTTCACACCACGCTATATTAATTACCTACAGGTCGCGGATCTCATATTCTATTGAACAGCTGGTCATTCAGTCAGAAACATGGATTGTTCACTGAAGTCAAGGATCAGAGGGTCCACCTAGCTAGGGCCCAGACCTGGCAGGTCTGGGCGCCAGTGTGCGACCAGTCGGGTGCCAAAACCCTATCTAAAGCAACCAACAAAAATATTTATGCAAAACCAGCGCCAAAACCCAGCGTCTAAAGTAACCAAAAATAGACTATACCAAAACCAGGGGTTCTTTACGTTCTTTGGCTCCGTTCAACACCCTGGTCCCCTTCCGTAACCCGCCACCGTGCCTCATCTCCATGTGCCGCCAGGTGGAGGATCAACCCGCCGGAGCGTCGCGCGTGGCTCTGCGTGAGCATCTTCGTCAACGAGCTGCTGGAGGCAGCGCCCAAGCTGATCCGCACCTGCCGTTTGTTCGGAGCTGGAGACATGCAGGCTGGAATTGGGGAGACGCATGGCATGGAGGTCCCTTAAAAAAAGGACACCGTGAAAACAGTCCCTTCGACCCCACCCCTCCATACGAGGGTTCGAACCCTTGGTCCCATTGAGCGTCGCAGGCCAAAACTCATTTTTGAGGGGTCTCTATTAAACAATGAAAACCCAATACCATCGTCCTCATCTCAGGGCGAGTGGTGGTCTGGAGGCAATCGGAGGAACTGCGCTCAGTTGAGATCGGGTGGGCAGCCATGGGCAGCAGGTCATGAAACATGGGCAACCATGTCGTGGGCCTATAACAAAACACATGCAACGTAAACCGTACCAACTGCCCCAAATGCATCAACACTGATGTTTTGTATTTTAAAAAATCACATAAAATCACAACCCCAAACGTTCCATGTGTAGAAAAATGGACATGACTGGTGGTTTGGGTGGTAGGCCATATTGGTGCCACCACTGCGCATCAATCTCTTCCAGCCATCACTGCCCACCGCGCCCCACCTGTCCAGTCTGCAGGCGCCCTGAATCACGCGCACTGCCCACAATACCTTGGATTTGCTTAGAAAACCGGCCAGTAACAATTTGGTACCCAGAAAATGTGACAGCGACATGGCCTGAAAACAAGTGTTTGTATCCATTTTTTGCGGTATTAACCAAGATGCGATCGGTCTCCGATTCGAAGTCGATCGGGGTGAAGGCCAAAGGCCTGAGTCGGTCGAGGCATCGGTCTAGGCAGCTCGGAGCCTCGAAGAAGCTCCACAGTCCCGCAAGGCGATGTTTGGGAATGGGCATTGATTCAGCTGCAAATTTGGCGGGTGAATCGCAAAGGACAGGTTAAACATGATTGATTAAACTGGTCGTTGACCTGAGTTTATATATACCCACTTTCAGAGGTAGGAACAGGTCGACTCCCAGAGAGCTTCCTGATGGTGGATCCCAGGCGCAAATCGTCGTGAACCGGCCCGGGAACCGAACTCGGTCTATGGTATACGGTCTTTGGAACTGACCAGCAAAGTACGTGGTTTGCCTGGATCCAACCCAAACATAACCCCAAAAACGTCCACAAACCAGAGCGATGGCCTCCAACCTAACTAGCGGCTAGGCCTCCACCCTATAAGCCAAAATACGTATATCAAAATATAACTACCAGGAACTCTACCAGGAGTCACAAGACAGGGTGGTGCTTAGTCCCAGCCAGTGCATGGATCATGGGCACCCGCAACCTCCTCCAATGAAGCACCCCTTTGGGACTGCCTAATAAACAACAAAACCTCAACAAAATCACGCTTCAACCCAACACCCTTTCATTCGGTCCCCACGGCTCCCGGACGAGGCGTACAGCACGAAGAGCTCCCAGAGGAGCTCTGGTGCCTCCGACGAGGTGAGCGCTTCGCCCGAAGTGAAAAGCAGATGGGTTTAGAAAAGATCGGCTGGTTCGATCGGGTTAAAAGTTTCGGGGGATCGCATGGGATCGCGGAAGAAGGAGGTGACATGAAATTGAGCCAAGGCATATGATTGGTTCTTGGGCATGAAATTGGAGATCCACAATGTGAAGGTCTGCCAACCACCAGTCCCAAAAGGGGTGCTATCCATGGAGGTTAGGAGTGCCCATTATCCACTCACTGGCTGGGACTAAACCCCGCCCCTTTGTGACTCCTGCAACCTAAATTGTCTTTAGAATGTCTTGTCAAGTCTTCTATCCCAGAAGAAACACAAAATACATTGGACATGTTGTAGAGGGTGTTGACTGGTTCTGGGCAAACTCACTCTCACCCGGACTCGCGGAGTGCTCATGCGCAGTGCATGGACTCCCTCCGCCTGGTTCCGATGCATCCAGCTCCGCAAGGAGTGATCGGCGAAGTCATCGTTCCACATGATCGGGCTTCCCCCGCATGGGTGAGGACTCCTGCCAGGTGGCAGCGGATGTGCTTGGATTTCCAATGTTTTATATCTCAAGAAGAGGCCCTTTTATATCTCGGGAAGAGGCCCCACATGGAACCGAACCTGGTTTTCAGGTTCCATGTGGGTCTCTTCGGCACCGGACGATTCTGAGATGGAAGATGATAGAACTGGGACCTCTACTTCGAAGAGTCCAGATGCAAACTGCAGCCATACATTTGGTGAATACCAGTGGTCAACTGCAAGTTCTGGTCCTACAGCGAAGTTGTGGCACTCAGTTTGGGAGAAGTTTGACCCACCGAACGATTCAGCTCCCTCTTGGGGAGTCTCGCATCGTGCACAAGCAAGTGTTGAGTCTCAAGCATCTCGGGGAAACTCGCTAGCTGGCGCCGAAGATTAAACCGACTCGTCATGCTCCAGACTCTTCATGTAATACATTCGGGTGGTTCGGGGTCAATGTAGGCATGCCATACATGGGGTGTCTGGGTACTTTTCTCCAGCAGTTGTTTGTGGGAGGGCGATTTGAATGCGGGTCCAGGTGTTTTTTTCTTTTTTGGAGGGTATTTTTATGGAACCCAAATACCGACTGGTTGGTGGGTGGTATCTTTCAAAAAGATATACAAAAAGTGCCAACCCCTCAACTGACTGAACAAGTCTGGCGAAAGTGAACCCTAGGGCGTCCAGTGGGCCATCAGAGGCTTGATGGCTCCCCCAAGATGTCCTGAACAGATGGGGGGTCCATATAAAAACCACCGACCTTGGGGTCTGTGCCATCTACTCTCAATCCGATATTCTTCGTTCCGGGCACACCATACCCTGCTGGATCCAGGACCACTCTCGGTGGGTTCTAGTGGGTTCCACGTACGACGGATCATCCGGAATGACCCACCGGAGTCACGCACCGAACCCACCAGGTCTGGGGTAGTTCACCCGCCTGCCACAGTGATGCAGTGGAGTTCCACAGCTCGTTCGACGGGCTGGAGTGCCACAATGAGCGGGCGACTGATACCTGCTCCCGAACGAGGCCGAACAGATCGATACGATGGAGACGTCTCACGGTATACGTCTGCATGCGCTTGGAAAAACGCGGCGAACAACGCGGCCTCTTGGTCTGAAAAAAACAAATGGAATTTAGACTTAGCTGAAGAGGCCCCTCTATATCAATGAGAAATATACAACAGGCAAACTTGGCTGCAGCAAGCAGCCGACCGCGTGACAGTGGTTGAGCAATGCCACACTGTTAACCAGGTGCTGTGTGCATATCTTGTCAGGTGCTGTGTGAAATCGGAAGAGAAGGCAGGATTGCTGTCGTTGGTTGTCGAGTCTGCTGGGTTGATGTGTTCTTACATGTTCTTCCCCTGCACGTGTAACATGAAGTGACATAGACAGACTATCCCCCAAACAAACATGGGCAACGGTTCCAACAGGTTAACCTCAGCTTATAACACCCAAACACTCCATGATTAATCTATGTCATAACCTACATTGGGCCGGTTGACAAGGATTCAATAGGGCCGTCTGACTGTCCCCTTGACCATGCGCACCACGTTTGGTCTTTGCGGGACATGATGCTGTTTCGATGCGACGAGAAGTAGGCATTGGTAACTAACGCCCGTGTTCCGCTGTGGGCGCCCGTGGTGGCTCAACTGAGTCTACCCAACAGGATTCCAACCAATACCACCTGCAGTGTGTGTCTGTGTGTGTGCTTTTGTTATATATCCCGAACATCTGCACAAGTCCGAAAGTCACTGACCTAGCAGAGCGAGATACAGTCACAGTGCTATGAAGGAGAGGACGAAGGGGAAGTGACCAAAAGCGACAACTAACTAAGGCTGAACAATTAACCATGGTTTTGCAAGTTTTGCCAAGGATTTTGGACTATGGCACCAGGTCAACCATTCTGTTAATGGTCTGACGATGGCAAAAAGGACTTCATACCTCTCACCTGCCGCATTTTCGTGCCTGCCTTTCGTGGCCTTCCCCCACCCCATGTCTCTCCCCCTCCCCACACCAAGACCTGCTGCTCTATACTCAGGCTGCCAAGTCACATGCTCAAGTAGCAGGAACTGGGACTCACGGTCGAAACTTCCGACATCGCCCGGTCCAGACCTTGCGATTACCGACCCGTCGCGGTCGCTTGGGTCGGCGCGCCAACGACCCGGAAAAACACGTGGGTTTTCGGGCCCAGCGGGCTCGGAGACGAACAACCAGCGGAGCGGAGCCACCAAGAGATTGGTCCCTATAAGATTGATGGAGCCAAAAAGAACCAATACGTTCAGGCTCTATTGGGTTTGCTTGCTTAGCTGGTCCTGGCTGTGGTGAAGGCCTCTCTGCCTCTAGCAAAGGGTCTTTTTTTGGTCATGGGTCCCTCCAAGACCTCAGATTGCTGGAGCTGGCAATCTGCAGAAACTGGACCAGTCCTCCTGCAGACCTATGTCCCCAGCCTTCCTTGGGAAAACAACACTATGTGGATGCCTCAAGCAACATGATGTGCAACGCACAAGTTTCCGTTGCACTACCTTCGGTTTCCTCAGACTCGCCAGATTCACAGCAGCATGCATTTTGTTTTCAAAAACCCACTATAATCTGAAGTCAACCTGTAAAAGTACCTCAGAACATGCGTCCCCTCGGTACCTGTGGTGCTTTGTTTTTACCGTGCCCTATGTCCAGTCACCCCCGACCGGGTCCACTGGGCGCCCGAACCACCACCGGCGCCCGTCGCAGGTGTCCAGGGCGAGGAGTGCGGCGTGCAACTGCGCGAGATGGGTGGCAAATGTAGATCCTTGGAACGGCAGGACGTCCGAGAGGAGCGAGCGATAAACCGATCGACCTTTGGCCGAAGAGAATCCGGTTCCGAGCGATCAGTTTTGCCCAGTGCCTGGAAAGGAGTGGTTTGTACGACCCAGTAACATGCCCTTGCGGTGAGTGCAGAATGATGAATGGGTATAATAACTATAAATAATAGTATCTATTAAATATATTTGCAAGGTCTTTTTATAACAACTCATTTCCAGGGGCTCCATCCTAATTTTGGCACTGCGGACATGGACTGCCGGACGACCATCCCGGCCCAGTGTTGCCTGCCGGACCTCAACCACGACCATCCACGCCCAGTGTTCCCTGCCGGACCTCAACCACGACCATCCACGCCCAGTGTTCCCAACCGGACCTCAACCACAGCACACAGCCACAACCACAATCACAAACACATAGCCACAAACACACAACCACAAACACAACCGCACACACATCCACAAACACACAATCACAAACACGCAATCGCAAACACACAGCCACAAACACACAACTGCAAACACAATCACAAACACAACCACAACCACAAACACACAACCACAAACACACAACCACAAACCCACAACCACAAACACAACCGCACACACATCCACGAACACACATTCACAAACACACAACCACAAACACACAACCACAAACACAACCGCACAGACATCCACAAACGCACAATCACAAACACACAATGGCAAACACAACCACAACCGCAACACAGCACAAAACCTCAACCGCAACACACAACCCGAGGACCCACAAGCAAAATCGAGAACTACAATACTCACGACCATGGCAAGATGCTCCTCACTGTGGTATCAAGACAAATGATTGAAATGTCATGGTGGGGATCACTCGAAGTAAAGTAATTTTCTAGCTTCCTGATCTGTTCTGCCTGATTCCAAACCAGGGTCAGAGTCAGAGGCAAGCAGCAACGCCATCCTAGTATAAGTAAAATTCAAGGCGACTGAACGGTGGACGTATCATGAAGCAACGGGACTCCTGCTACGGCTTGCTTTTTCTTGGTCGCCTCCGTTACTGTACAGGATATTGTCAAAACCGGTTCAAATTCACAAAGGTGCCTGCAATCAATAGAAACAATAATAGCAACCACTCCTCCAGAAAGTTGAGGATCGACGTGAAGCCTTTCCTCATCAAGCCGTCGATGCCCTCCACCTTGCTGGAATCGCTCATGCTCTTGCTGTCCGACACGCCTTGCCCTTCCCATCATGGCGTCCCGGACGTACCCCCTAATCAGTGCAGCCTCAGCATGCGAGCGCAGCTTTACATAAAGGCTGCATGGGAATTGCAAAGCGCGCCTTCAACGAGCTAGTCCTGATGTTGGTTCACTCTAACAGAAATTAAGCCATATTATCTCTGACGATTCATTTTCAAAGGTAATTGTTCAACACCTGTTTGAAGGCATGCGCGACATAGCTTAAAGCGAGCGCCTGCCTCGCGCAGATCGTGAAGTCCCCCCTGTGGTGCAGGTTGCCCCCTTTTCGCTGCCGCTAACTGAGCTTCGATGTCTTCTGCACGCTTCTGCCGGTGCTCCCTCGAAGCATTGGACTCAAAGTACAGCGTGTCCAGGTCCTTGGCTGACAGAATGCTGACCAGCTTTGCCTTCTCCTCGTTCAGCGACTTGATCTCCGCACGCTGGCTCTTGTTCTGCGTCTTCAGCCAGGGTAAGGCAAGAATTCTTCCACCCGTCCCGATTCAACGTATGTTTGTCTGCGTTGAGAAGGGTCTTCCCGGATGCACTGAGGTGGAGGTTTAACCACCATGGGTTTTGGCGGTGGTGTCCTCGATCTGGCGGATCCGGACGGGGTTGCACTTGGATCCGTTGGCTCATCGTCATCGAGCGATTGGTCTGCCCAAAGGTGTACGATGAGCTGGGTCTACTAGTGGTGTCACAGTTACCGAAGTTCTTGATGGAGACTGGGCCGGAGGTTCACCGGAGTCGTACTCGGCTACTACCCTTCGGGCGACCATAGGGACGGTACCCCTTGTGTGCTCCGCGAACGACGGCTCCGCGCTAGGCGCGGTTTCCTGAGATGCGCCAGGACCTGGCCTCAGCACGACTCGTGAGGTTGATGCGAACACGACACGAGTATCTTCTTGACCTTGTTGACCTACCATGTGGGGGGGGGCGGTTATTAATCCGGAGTTGACATTAAGGTGTGTGTGTGTGAGTGTGCACGCATCCTGCGTGCAAATGACGCTCTTAGAGCTGTTGTGGTACTTAATTGGCACCAACTAAATTGAACTTATTTCAGTCTGGCTGACATGATTGTTTTTCACCTTGATGAAGCAACTGCGTGTAATCTGATTATTACATCCATATCTTGTATAATAAATAGTTATATGAATTCCAAAACCATGTATACAAATATATAGGCTCTGCTTGCTCTCTTCTAGGTTCCTGGCCTTTCTTGCCATCTGCGTTGGCCATGTCTGTGAATTGAAGGCTGCCCTCACCCCCGCTCCTCAACTGGCCATATGACTTTTGCAATGAAACATGTTTTTTTCTATTGTCCCAATTGGTAAATTGATTCACTCTAAGACCCATCCAAAAGCCTCCCAGTGCAAGATATATCAAATATATATTCTTCAGCAAGCAAAAATAGAATATTTTCAGCGACTCAAAAAAGGATGCCCAAATACAGATACATCGGTTTCAGCAGCTGCTTGACCCCTGCATAGACATGGCCTTGCATGGAACATGCTGCATAACTCAGCGCAAGTTTGTTCTTCCCTGTGCGTCGATTGCAGAGCCAGGGCACAGCAGCCTGAATTTGTGCGCCTCACGTTTTCAGAGACCTGTCTCTCACACTCTCCTTTCTTCACTTCCTTTTTGGAAGCTCCATGGGAAAAATCACCGCCTTTCAACCTCATTCCCATGGTTTCGAATGATTTGACATATGGTTTGCGGCACTTTTGGCAGCGTCCACAAACCATATGCCATTGCCCACAAATCATGTCACAAACCCTTGTGTTTTTTCCAATCGCGATCTCCAAAAAGTAACTTCAAAAATGCCAAATTGTGGTTTCTATCTCGCTGCAACCTGGTTGTTTGTGTTGATTTTCTCAGTTACAATTTTTCATTACATCTAAAAGATGCAAATCTGTGGTTTCCACGTCGCTGCAATCCGATTTTCATATTGATTTGTTCAATCACAAATTTGAAAAGTTATCTTCAAAAATGCAATATGGAATTGAGCGGTAAGAGTATGCTCAGCATCATATGGGTGGCTAAAGCTTGCGCGGTACTCTTACAACTCTAGACTCTACACTCACTACATGGCAGTGAAAGGTCACTTAACCTCTCTTGGTATCTGCAAAACCACCTCTCGTTCTCAGACGGAACCGGGAACTCAAACGAACACATCTTCCACGCTTCTGAGTCGAACACATCGGAAATTCCCAGTCAACATATACCTGGATCCTCGTTTGGGCGGAAAAAAGTGCCGGACCTGAATCCAGCAATATTTCCTGCCGGATTCCCGAAAAAACGCCGGGGACCTGAAAAATCATCCGGATCCAAGGCCCTGAAAACAGAGATGATAAAAGGTTGGATCATACACAAGCAAACTGCCTTTGCGCCGAGAGTAGTTTTTCTGGAACACACTCATTCCACCCAACGCTGGAGCCTTCCCGTTCCCATTGCCCTTGCCCATCTTCCGAATGGCCTAAGAGCAGAGCCATCACAAAATATAAGCAAATTTGTGCCCAAGGTGGCAAGGAGCCCGTCTTTCTCTGCAACCGTGTCTCTAAAGTTCCTTTACAAAGTGGGTTGCTCTCCATGGTTCTTATATGATTTTAAGTATGTTTTTAAAGCTTGGCTTGCCTCAGGACGGGCCCTCAATAAAGTAGCAGAACTCATGGTTCCAGTCAACACTCTTCTTTGAAAAACTTTTTCAACATTCAAAACCTTCAGAAGACTGAGTCCAAAAAAATACGCCGGAGTTATGGGAAATCACGCCGGATTTACGGAAATTACGCGGAGTTACGACGTGCAATTTGTTTAGCAACCCTCTGCAAAACATTGAGATTCACAACACATGTTCCACAGCCCAAAGCCTTTTCGGCAGGCTCTGCAAGCCTGTGCAGCTAGAACTATATCCCAGCGCCCCGTGTGGAGTATATTTTCGCCTATGTTTGACATGCACCCACTTGGGTCTTTCAACACATGCTTCGCACTGTACCGACTTCGTCCGATTTCATTTAGAAGATCACCTAAATGGATCTGATTGATCCAGTGTGAACCATGCTGAAACCGGTGGAATGAGAAAACAGCGGAACAGGCAAACGAGCACACTTTGCAAGCAAAATCATTGCATCAGTTGTGGATTTATCTTCAAACAAATGCGGACCACAAAGAATGCAAAGCCTGGAGAATCCACATAAAGTGACTTGGAAAAACTGCTGGACCAAATCCAGAAAAACGCCGGAGTTGGAAGTCCGGCGCCGGACCCTGTAAAAAGTGCCGGACTGAAGATCTAGGTATACCTGCATTCCCTATAGGGCTCCAACTCCAACATGTTCCTGTCCCGTCTCCTCAGGTTCGGTGCTTAGACCATGTTGAACCCCCGCTGCCATCCACCCACCCCGACCGTCCCAGCCCTGTCCCGAAACGGAGGGATTGACCAGAAGCCCAAACGGGGATTGACCCGACTCGTGCAACATCGAACGATCATGCGCCGAAACCGGGAGACTTCACGGCATGGAAACTATAAGTGAAACTCACCAGGAATATGCCCAAGCAGGTATTCCAGCAGTCCTTGGGATCACAAAAAAATGATTGACCTCCCTAACCCTGCCTCTAAACAAGCTAAAAATGATATGTGTGGGATGGAGGCCCAACCCATTGATTCTTCCAACACACCTCGGCTGATCGTTCAGTCAGTGGCTCCGTCCGAGGTGTCGCTGTGGAAGGCGTTCCAGCACCGCGCCGCGTCCTGCCGCGCGCGGTGGGGTCGCCGGGTCGTGCGCGTGGGCGCGTGCGCGCTCGGTTATTCTGACCTGTGCATTTGTACCTCAGAAAATGGATGAAAATGGGTACAGTCTTATACCTGCATTTTTTTGCAGGGTATGTTGAGTCATGTCCTTGTTTCGTTCGTCGATCCTTTGGATAACTACTTTCGGGTATACTTGGCAGGGTACTATGGTCCAGGCCTAAAGTTGTGGTTCGTTGGTTGCATTGATTCTTCAAAGCTTGCGCAACAAGTGAGTCCAAACAACCCCCAAGGAGGAACGTTAAAACATATAGCACGTCGATAAAGCTTGATTGTTGGACGCTTTGCTTCAGGTCAAGGCAACTGAACTATAGCAATGCAATCGCAATGAGATCTGATCCCCTCAAGGGGCCCTGGTATATGTCTCATTTGTTCGGGTCACGTCCCATTTTCGCACCAACGGTCCGTCGGGTTCAGGACACGTCCAACATCCATCGATCGAGGAGGACCCCGACCGTCCCCATTTCGAAGGTGATGTGTTCGACGCATCGTCTCGCTGCCACAATAGGTGTCCAGTTGTACCTGCGTTTCGTTTCGGTCTGTGGATTCGATCAAAAGTACCTGGACCCTCCAAAGCACCTTAGAAAATGGGACATGACCCCTTAAAAACAGGTACGACCGTACCCATTTTCCGAGGTATGAACTGAGACTCCAGGTACACCAACATCTCTGTCCGGTCACCTTCGTCACCTTCCTGGACAAGTTACCATGGACACCCGTCGATGCTTCCGCGAGTTCCGCGAGTTCGCGACCGGACGAGCGACCGGACCAGCGCGGAGCGAGCGCGGAGCGCCTCGTCGAGGACTGCGAGCGCGGCCGCGAGGAGGCCGTGCAGCGGCTGCTACTTCGCAACTCGCTGGCACCGGGCCTCGATCGAGTGACGAGGCGGACTCCATCCGGTCGGTCTGGGTGTGAGAAAAGAAGAGGATGCCTTGTGAAGGTATATCCCATGACCAGTGGATGATGGATAGGCCACATGTTCAGCCCATCCATGTACACCTTCCAAGGGACCTTTACGGGCCTGTTTGTGACCTCATCCTAGGATATCAAAAGGTCACTTGGAAGAAATGAGCAAGGTAGAGTGCCAGACCATCCATGCACGGAATACAGTAGTCATATATATTTATATTACATCATACGACATCATAGTAGTACTATATACATAATGTTACATGCATTTACTCCATTTGTGGGCAAAAAAGGTGACCATGGTCGCAACTTTCATGGTGACATGGTGTCAAGAAAAAGCGATGTCAACCTCCAGTGCTCGGGGAACCTCATTTTTGTTGATGTTTTTCTTCCTCGTTCCATCCGGGCCCAATTCAATGACCACTGGGCTACCTTTTTTGACACCAACTCCATGGAACTTCCGGTATAACATGTTCAATGAATGGTTTCGAACTCCTCGTTTTCAGTTCCTGCTTGGACCTCCATGGAACCTCTCCGTGCCCTTTTGTGATGGTTCTCTTGGTTCTTCCCTTTTATTCTTGAAGCATCTCTCCAGCTTTTGTCCGTCGGACGTGCCAAGAGGCCCCAGGGGCGGCAGGCAGAAGGAGGCATGGGACGGGGCCTGACTCGTGCCAGGCGAGGTGTGTTCTGGTGGGGTGCTGGTCTACAAACATCTTGCGTCGCTGATCTGGGAAGCTGGCCATAACTGGCCTATTGGTACCCCCTTTTGTCAGGTTTGAGGCAAGATGTTCAATCATAGGTATATGGTATATGCAAAGGCATATAGTTTGTTGCCTAGAACCCAAAGGACACCCCCTTTTTGGACCAACCAACAAACATGTGTTCTTTGTTCTTATCAAAGAAGGGCTCAAATGGATTCACCGTATTCACAGTATTACTGGAATATAACATGTAGGTTGGACAAACATCTTGGGCTGTTACCTCCGTGAAGGATTCCAGTTGATATAGTGTGGCTTTGGAAAGGGGCCCGGATAGCGAATGGGTTCTCACTGGGTGCGGGTAGCCTAGCCTCATCGACTTGTCAGAACCTTTACCCTGCTGAAAACTAAGATGGACCCTGAAAACCACTGGTTTGTAAAGGAAAGCAGTCTTTCAGGGTGCCATTCTCAGGGTCCATGTGAGTTGACTCGGGACCTTTACTTGCAGGACAGTGAACGTCTACGACTCTGCTTTCTCTGGACCGTTCCACTGTAGCTTTGACTGGTTTGCACCGGGATTTGATTTGATGTGACCCTATCTCCAGGGCTCGAAGAGCACACAGGGTGCGATTTTTGAGCCCCAGAACCAAAGGGTTCGCCACGACAGCTTTTTACGCGCCTAGCGCCGCCGGATTAGAGCCATTTGGAGGTGGCAGACTTCCCGACGGTGGACTGGTACACGTTGAGCTGGAACAATAACACGATCTCCCAATTGGCACCGCAAACTGCGCAAGCTGAGATCGAGATCAAGGTTACACCTACGTGCTGCCATAGCTAAAGGTGATTTTACCTCCTCCAAATTCCGTAGGTCTGTACACCATCTCCATCGACATCACTCGTGGACGGAACAACGTACTGCTGCCATCAACAGAAGAGCTGGCTTGGTGATGTCATGGAAGTGGCAATGGAGTGGAAAGGCCACCGGAAAAGGTTCCAAGGGCAAAGGCCGATCTTGGAACATATGGGGAACGCCGCCGAAGAGGAAAGGCGACAAGAAGAAGGACAAAGATCAAGAAGAAGACAAGCAGATCTTCCCTGGATACGACTCGCTCAGGTCTGCATCGTCTTCTCAGCCCTCTGTCTCGGAGTTGAGGACAGCTTTAAAGGAGGCAATCAAGTCAACATCTGGATCCAATGCATCCGATGGGAGTCTAGTCAAAGCTGTTCAGCAGATCGTTGGGGAAGACGACGACAAGGAAGATTTGAAGAACCAACAAAAGGACCTCAACATGAGGAAGAAGCTAGTGGACAAAATTTCCAGATTGAAGAAGGCCAAGATGGAGAAGACCAGAGCATGGACGCAATACAAGGAAGAGCTCAAGAAGCATCAAGACGCAGGACAGGAGAAGTTCAAGAACGACATGGAAGGCATCGATCTGGAAATCCAGAAGGCCATGGACAAGATCGAAGAACTCGACATCGATGCTGCCACAAGAGATGTGAAAGGAGCAGACGCCATGGATATGGATGCAGCCACCAACAGGGAGCTAAAAGAACAGCTTCTATTGGCTCAAAGGGAACAATCCAACACTGCGAGAATGCTAGCCTTGCTCCAGACGCAGTTCAATGCTTATGTGGGGCAAGGGGCTCATGGACCAATGCCTTCAGAGCCCCGCATTGCAGCAAGTCCTTCAGATCTCAGAAAGCAGAGATTGAATGCGATAGAGAAGACGGGGCCGACCTATCCCTCACAAATCCCGACCTTCAGGCTGGACGAAGACAGGGAAGGGAGTCCCAGAAGGTCAGAGCCGGGAGGAGCAGACTCACAAGAGTTGAACAAGTTGGGCTAGCTGGTATTGGCGGCCCAAGTGGACCAGATGCAATGGGGAATTACTGCAGACATGCCTATACTGGCGCCGATTTCAATTGGATGACGGGTGGCAGATGCAGTGGCATTACTTTTCGCTTTCTACCTGTGCCTTGGGGGGCTTTCTGGTGGAATGTTTTTCACAATAGAGGAGAGCAGAACATTTGTGAGCTGCCTTCTCAAAACGTTGTATTTCCGATGACACAACAGCACAGCAAGTGGAGTGACTCTGGCGCCCATTTTGAAGGGCTGACAGGCGACTTCCCTTTTGCTGTGATTCACTCATGGACCACAGATGAAGAGTTGGCTGGAACAGGTGCATGCCATTTGACAGCTGCCGTCGGACACTTCTTCACTGTTGATCCTATAGAATCGACTTTTTCGTGTGCGAATCTATGCTCTAGACTTGATAGTATTATCTCCAGCTCAGAAGAGAATATGGCCAAGGAACATGAGCAGATTTTTCGCATGCACAATAGCACCTGGCCCGAGCCGACATGGGATGATGTCATGATCGAGGCACAATATGTCAGGATGCTCGGAATTTGCGGCCTGGTGCTTGTACTGCATTGTTTGTTTTTGCATTTTTCTTTGCTGTACCGAATCCAGCAGCTCAGTTTCCACTATAACCTGAGACCGAGAAGGAGAATCGAGCTTAGGAAGGCTGCATATGTTTCCTTTTTGGCTGGTTCCGTTGAGTCTCTTACTTTTGTAAATCTGATGAGCACAGTTAGCAGGGATGGGGGAAGCAAATGGGACGGTTTAGGCTGTGCTGTTGTCCTCATTTGCCTAGTGATCTTGATCCTTGCATGCTGCAGGTCGTATATCAGATTTCGAAGGGATTGCATAGGGCCTTCTGTTCGAGTTGGCCAGATTAGGAAAGGGGTTCGCCTGAGGTTTCGAAGAAACTTGTCGTGGACCGGATTAGTCTTGTGCCTCAACCTTGTCAGTGCGCATGCATGTGGCGAGCTTCAGGCAATAACACAGCAGGTCAGCATCCACCATACTCAGACACAAGCTGACCATAATGATGTGAACACTATGCGTCACAGTCAGTCTCACTGGTTTTCAGATGAGTTGTCCATGATGCAGCAAGACGTTCATGAGAACGTTAATAAACACACAATGATAGCTGGTGATACTGTTCTTTCCAGCGAACACGTGGGAAACACGAACAGGTTTCAAAGGGATGACTATCCTACATTTGAAGACCAGCCAAGTAGGCCAAGACTCATCAGTTCGGATGTTACAGGGATGCGGGGACTAACATGTCACGCCACACCGCATGAGTATGGAATTTTGATGCAGAATGCTACTAGATCCACTGAAGATGAAAACATCCCTCTGGCAGATCTTGGAAGAGAGGAGTTTGCCCTACCAGAGGCTAGAAACCCTCTCCAATCAGATAGTCCTTACCCTTCCGGACCTTGTGAGGGTAGGGACAATGAACCAGTCCGTCATCAGGACGCAGAAGGTCATGGCCTATTGTCCGTTGAAGCCAGAGGTTTACCGACAAACGGAAGCCTCGACCGATACGTTGCACAGGGCCAATCAGTTTTGGGCGATTTTGTCGACATTCATGCACCAAGTCATCACAATGTCGAACAGTCTTTGCAAGCAATTTTGAAGTCTAAGGACCTGAATGAGGTAATTTTTGAGAGAAGACAACTACATGCCAAGGTCTGGTACGCACCTCCGAATGGATGTAACGAGCATGCTAGGGACATTACTGTCATGCCGGAACAACTAGGCAATATCCGTGGAGCCGTTTGCCAGGCTTGGGCTGATTTGTTGACTCCAAGTACCTGCTCTTTTGAGCTTGCTAGACCACAGCCTGATCGACACACTTTTGGGATCGCTTTTCACTTTGTTGTCTTTGAGACACATGGGCCCACTGCTGTTTTAATACAAAGCAAGGACTTCAGAGCTGATTTCTGCGCATGCGCACTGAGGATGTGGCATCCGGTCAGAAGTGCTCATGAGCGAGTGTCACACCGAATCTGGCGGAAAGGAGAAGCAATCTCCATACAGCTGAAAGGCACAGACGACGTGTGTCTTCGATGGAGAGCAGCTAGCCTACGTGTCTACAGGGATAACACTGCAACCCTGGATGTTGATACAGTAAATCTCATGCAACTCACAGAACATCAGACAGTCACTATCGCTAGTGCAAGGTTCGCATATGCAGTTGAGCACAGAAAACCAGTGCACGACGTTGCAAATTTTGCTGTGCAAAACTTTGTCAAGCGTGATGATCTCAGAAGATGGATTTCTGACCTTCCCTGCTACGCTGGGGAGAGGCAGCTCACACTTGCTATTTGGAGGATGCACCCGATGGTGGGAGTCACTAGCAAATGTGACTACCTTCACTTAGCAGATGGCAACTGGGCAAGAGATTTCCGAACATACTGGAAAATCTCAGACCTCTTTAAGACGCCGAAGTTAGCAGCAGTTGCACCGCAACCGCCAGGGAACACGCATGCAGATTTCAGAAACATCCATGTCATAGCCACTGAGAACCAACATCTTGAACAGAATCAAGTTGTACATCTTTTCGATGTCTGGGATACAACGGACCCTACCTTGGGCACTGGGCGAACCTTTTTGATGAGGAGAGCTGCGAGATTGTCCAGGGACTTACAGGTGATGCAAATACCTGAATGGGTTGGAGTGCCTCATGCAGAGTCGTATGAGCAAGTCTTTGCCTCAGTCAGGAATCACGAGGCGCAGGAGCAGGCTGTATTCAGTGGAAGACAGCGTCTGCTGGTGCCCGATTTCTCCCTCGTGGACCTCATCCTGGTTAAACAACGAATGGGATGTGCCGATAGCAGTGACATTCACAGTCAGGGCACAATATTGGCAATCAAGAACGGGCTCACCGTCCAAGAGCATACCCAGGATAAATACAGGGATAACACTGCAACCCTTGACGAGCGGGAAGACGACATCAACGGATTGATGCAAGAACCGCTTCGGGATAGGACAGCAGCGGAGATTGATGAGGAAAGATGCTTCGACCCAGTCCGGACGCCAATCAGGCTGTATCAGGGAGCAGAATTTGCATGGAGGCTTTGGAATCATTTTGTCAGCGACAGA